GGTTTAATTTTATCCTGTTATAATCTTGTTATGCAGTTGCATGGTTTTATGCGGATATAAAATAATAGAATCTAATCACTAAGATGATTGAATGTAATTGCTTGAGTCCACACGACATCAACCTGGTCAGTTAGAAATATAAAACAAGTTGTACACTACCACGTAGTTCAAAATAAAACATGATCAATGATACGATTGAATAAAATAATGTAAAGCCACATAACATAAAACTGGATTTCAAATTTTTTTTCCATTTCTATGATCTGATTTTTACAAAAATAAACCTATGATACACATTAATAAAAAAATTCAAACTCCCCTTAACACCTTAATAGATAGACGAAGACACGTCATTCAAAGATTATACAGTTTATCTTTTTATGTTAAGCATATACTTTTCTTCTTTACTACCAACATCGTTTTAGGTAGTTTTAAATTTGACGGAGAGAACGTACTTTTGTCCTCTAAAATAAACCTAAGATATATATTAATATAAAAATTGAAAAACGCCCCTTAAAACTTTAGAAGGATAGATGATGACATGTTACTCAAAGATAAGACAGTTGATATCTTTATGTTAACCACGAATGTTTCATTTTTAGTACCAAAATCGTTTTAGGTAGTTAAATTTGTCGGAGAGAGCCTATACTGGTCATGTAATAACAATTTATGTATTGCCTGTTGGACATGCTAAATAGTCTTGGTAGTTTATTTATTTTTGTCGATCCTTCAATCTTAGTATTATAATTAATTGTTAGTTTAAATTATAATAGAATTTTATAAAACAGTTAACATTTAATTGTTAAAATGTAACAATCTTATTAAGAGAACGTGAATTGTATGGTGTACCAATAAAAATATATTTCTAAATTAAGGTCTTTGAATATATTATACGAAAATTAATTAACTTCTAAAAAGAAATGGGGGTAACAATTAAATTTGTTCACATATTTTAATAAGAGGAACAATAAAAAAGATTTTGAAATATATATAAACTTCCAAAATGATATAGCTAGTCAAACCGGTAACAAATAAATATATAATAGAGGAAGAGAATATGATCTTTCCAAAAAATTAAAAAAACTACCAAAAGCAATTTAGGAGTCAAACTGAATAAAAACTTAACATAAAGAGTTCAATAGTCTTATCTTTGACAGATATGTCTCGTCTCTCCTTATATGTTTTTAAAGGGCTCTGGTAATTTGTATATAAATAAAGATCTTTGGTTTACTTTAACGAAAGAAAATAACACTACAAATGAAAAATATTTGAGATCAAGTTTGATATAGTGAGGATTTACTCAATTATATTCAAACATATTAATAGTATGATTTTATTCTGATTCTAGTAAGTACCTGCGATTTGTTTTTATAGTTGTAATAGATAAGTTTGATATTGTGCGGACTTACGATACTTCATTTAATCTTTTATATGGTTTTATTTTATCATGTTATAATCTTGTGATGCAGTTGCATGGTTTTATGCGAATATAAAATAATAGAATCTAATCACTAAGATGATTGAATGAAATTGCTTGAATCCACACGACATCAACCTGGTAAGTTAGAAATATAAAACAAGTTTTACACTACCACGTAGTTCAAAATAAAACATGATCAATGATACGATTGAATGAAATAACGTAAAGCCACATAACATAAAACTGGATGTCAATTTTTTTTTCCATTTCTATGATCTGATTTTTACTAAAATAAGCCTTCGATCCACATTAATAAAAAATTTTCAAAATCCCCTTAACACCTTAAGAGATAGACGATGACACGTCATTCAAAGATTAGACAGTTTATCTTTTTATGTTAACCATATATTTTCCTTCTTTACTTCCAATACCGTTTTAGGTAGTTTTAAATTTCCCATAGAGAGCGTACATTCGTCCTCTAAAATAAAACTAAGATCTATATTAATATAAAAATTGAAAAACGCCCCTTACAACTTTAGAATGATAGACGATGACATTTCATTCAAAGATAAGACAGTTAATATCTTTATGTTAACCATGAATGTTTTATTTTTAGTACCTACGTTTTAAGTAGATTGTAATTTGTCGGAGAGAGCCTATATTGGTCATGTAATAACAATTTATGCATTGCCGGTTGGACATTCTAAATAGTCTTGTAGTTTATATATTTTTGTTTTATAATTAAGTGTTAGTTTAAATTATAATCGAATTTTCAAAAATAGTTAACATTTAATTGTTAAAATGTAACAATCTGATTAAGAGAATGTGAATTGTGTGGTGTACCAATAAAAAAATATATTTCAAAATTAAGGTCTTTAAATATGTTATACAAAAATTAAATAAATTCTAAAATGAAACGGGAGTAACAATTAAGGTTTTCAGATATTTAAATAAGAGGAACAATAAAAAACGTTTAGAAAAAAATATAAAACTACCAAAATGATATAACTAGTCAAACCGATAACTCATAAATATATAATAGAGGATGAGATTATGATCTTTCCAAAAAATATAGAACTACCAAAAGAAATTTAGGTAGTCAAGCTGAAAATAAAACTTAAGAAAAAAGAGTAATACAGTCTTATCTTTGAAAGATATGTCTCGTCTCTCCTTATATCGTTTTGAGAGGCTCTGGTAATTTGTATATAAATAAAGATCTTCGGTTTACTGTAGCAAAAGAAAATAACACTACAAATGAAAATCATTTGTGATCAAGTTTGATGTAGTGAGGATTTACTCAATTATATTCAAACTTATTAATAGTACAATTTTATAATGATTCTAGTAAGTACCTGCTATTTTTTTTATAGTTGTAAGAGATAAGTTTGATATTGTGAGGATTTACTATATTTCATTTAATCTTACTAGTGGTTTTATTTATTCTGTTATAATCTTGTTATGCAGTTGCATGGTTTTATGAGATTAGAAAGTAATAGAATATAATCACTAATATGATTGAATGTAATAGCTTGAATCCACACGACATCGACCTGGTCTGTTAGAACTATAAAAAAACTTGCACACTACCACAAAGTTCAAAATAAACACATGGTCATTGATACGATTGAATAAAATAATGTATAGCCACATAACATAAAACTGTATTTCATTTTTTTTTCATTTCTATGATCTGATTTTTATTAAAATAAACCTATGATCCACATTAATAAAAAAATTGCAAACTCCCCTTAACACCTTAAGAGATAGACGACGACACGTCATTCAAAGATTATACAGTTTATCTTTTTATGTTAAGCATATATTTTTCTTCTTTACTACTAATATCGTTTTAGGTAGTTTTAAATTTGCCGGAGAGAGCGTACATTGCTCCTCTAAAATAAAACTACAATCTATGTTAACATAAAAATTGAAAAATGCCCATATAAACTTTAGAAGGATCCTTCACAGATAAAACAGTTGATATCTTTATATTAACCATGAATGTTCCATTTATAGTACCTAAATCATTTTAAGTAGTTTTTAGTTTGTCGGAGAGAGCCTATATTGGTCATGTAATAACAATTTATGTATTGCCTGTTGGACATCCTAAATAGTCTTGGTAGTTAATATACATTTTTGTCGATCCTTCAGTCTTAAATTATAGTTAAGTGTTAGTTTAAATTATAATGGAATTTTATAACACTACAAATGAAAAATATTTGAGATCAAGTTTGATGTAGTGAGGATTTACTCAATTATATTCAAACTTATTAATAGTAAGTTTTATTCTGATTCTAGTAAGTACCTGCAATTTATTTTCAGAGTTGTAATAGATAAGTTTGATATTGTGCGGATTTACGAAATTTCATTAAATCTTATTAGTGGTTTTATTTTATTTTCTTATAATCTTATTATGCAGTTGCATGGTTTTATGAGATTAGATAATCATAGAATCTAATCACTAATATGATTGAATGTAATAGCTTGAATCCACACGACATCAACCTTGTCGGTTAGAACTATAAAAAAGAGGTTGCACACTACCACGTAGTTCAAAACAAAACATGATCAATGATACGATTGAATGAAATAACCTAAAGCCACATAACATAAAACTGGATTTCAATTTTTTTTTCCATTTCTATGATCTGATTTTTACTAAAATAAACATACGATCCACATTATTAAAAAATTTGCAAACTCCCCTTAACACCTTACGAGATAGACGAAGGCACGTCATTCAAAGATTACACAATTTATCTTTTTATGTTAAGCATATATTTTTATTCTTTACTACCAATATCGTTTTAGGTAGTTTTAAATTTGCCAGAGAGAGAGCGTACATTAGTCCTCTAAAATAAACCTAAGATCAATATTTATATTAAAATTGAAAAACGCTCCTTAAAACTTTAGAAGGATAGACGATGACATGTCATTCAAAGATAAGACAGTTGATATATTTATATTAACCATGAATGTTTCATTTTTAGTACCTAAATCGTTTTAGTTAGTTTGTAATTTGTCGGAGAGAGCCTATACTGGTCATTTAATAACAATTTATGTATTGCCTGTTGGACATGCTAAGTAGTCTTGGTAGTTTGTTTATTTTTGTCGATCCTTCAATCTTAGTTTTATAATTAAGTGTTAGTTTCAATTATAATGGAATTTTATAAAACATTAACATTTAACTGTTAAAATATAACAATCTTATTAAGAGAATGTGAATTTTGTGGTGTACGAGTAAAAATATATTTCTGAATTAATGTCTTTAAATATATTTTTCAAAAATTAATTAACTTCTAAAATGAAACGGGAGTAACAATTAAAGTTGTTCACATATTTAAATAAAAGGAACAATAAAAAAGATTTCGAAATTTATATAAAACTAACAAAATGATATAGCTAGTCAAACCGGTAACACATAAATATATAATAGAAGATAAGAATATGATCTTTCCAAAAAATATAAAACTACCAAAAGTAATTTAGGTAGTCAAACTGAATATAAAACTTACCATAAAGAGTTCAACAGTCTTATCTTTGAAAGATATGTCTCCTCTCTTCTTATATGGTTTTAAAGGGTTCTTGTAATTTGTATATAAATAAAGATATTGGGTTTACTTTAGTGAAAAGAATAACACTACAAATGAAAAACATTTGAGGTCAAGTTTGAAACGTATTAATATGAATAATTAACCCCATGCACATCAGCTTCATCGAGTTTGGAGAAAAAAACCTCCTTATTACAAAGTCATAACAGGACTTTAAAGTTTCAATTATTTTTGCATCAAGCGGATTAACCAGAGTGGAATGATTTAGTTGTCCTTAGGGCGGAACTTGCAAGCGGTCTTGAGCTCCCCCGCAGATTTGTCGCCGGCGAAACCAGCGTCAACCCAAGCCGAGTAGCCTCCCTCCATGTTAGCCACATGCTCGTACCCCTACTAAGTATAGAAATACGAATAAGTACGATGCATTTTTGTGTATCTATATACTTGTTGACTGGACTCACCGCATTGAGAAGTTCAACGCAAGCACGACTTGCTCTTCCTCCCGAGTTACAAGCCTGACCGAAAGTTTTTTAGTATGTGGAATGTCACGGTCCCAAATAATAGAATTAGTTCCAAACTTTTTTCTTAATTTGGTAATCTGATCCAAAACCCGACGGAAACCACAAACTATGTACAATATCACATGTTCCCACATGTGTACAGTTTATCTGAATGGAAATTTCAAACTTGGGATGTTTAGCATTTTCCAATCCCTTATACCATCCGACCACACCAATTAGACCACCCGACTAGATTCAAAACTTTATAATTCTCTAGATAATTTTTGAAAATCTCTAGAATACCTCATAAATTATTACTATCTTTCAGTAGATATTTATAATGTTCGTCTATAATCACATTAACTCAATTTTTATTCAATTAACGGTAAGTTATGTTTTACTTTCTTAAAAAATCAAACATTAGATCCTTTTAATTCTTATAGCATATTTTAGAATTTTTTTTTTGCATAATCAAAGGTAAATCTGAAGATGCAAAGATCATGTGGACATTCTGATTCAGACGCAAGTACATTAACGAGTGTAGTAGAATCGTCAGCGAACATCTCTGTTCGGAATGACGCTAGGCGCTAGTAGGGCGATTGGTCCAAAGCTAGCGTGTTACTAGAAAATCAGGGAATAATCAGAAAATAGACCGGTCTAGTTTTTAATACAACTTTATATATATATATATATATATATATATATATATAATTATGTAATATATTACAATGATAGTGGCGTGGTCTGGTGGCAGTACACTTGATTTCACAACAACAGTTCCTGATTTCGAGACCCTTCTAGGTCATTTTCGTTTATTTGTAAATATCTCTTTAGAGAAGGGTATTTTCGTATTAAACTCTTTGTCTTCCTCATTAAAGTTTAGGGTTTGTGCAAAAGTTTTGCGTGGCCGCTAATAATTTCTAATACATTATCTTCACCTTTTTGGTATTTTAACCATGATTTACACTTTGAACATGTAGGTTAGTCATATATAAATCGATCTGGAGCTTTAAAAGGACCGAAAACAGTATTTGAAAAAAAAAGCCTAATTCTCCGATTTGGACCATATCGACGCGTCCGGGAACCGTCAAGTGTTTAAACCCACAAGACTTGAAGAATAAACTAGTGGTCAAGTCAGAGTTAATATGAAGACAACTTGGAGATTGAGCTTGAAGAGATTCACTTTGGAGAAGGGATATCTCAGGATCGGAAGTTCTTAAAGACCTATTAGAAGTTTTGTGTGCTTACCATAAATGGGGATTTGGTAAATATTGGGTAGATGGCTAGGTTAGCTGATTTGGCTATAGCGTATATATAGTCACATATGACCTATGTATTAGGGCTATCACCAGAGTTTTATTCATACCATAAGAGTGGGTTTCATAAGCTTGTAAGCGAGTGTAAGTACTAATAGCTAAGGGGAGAGATTCTAAGGTCTTGTATTCGAGTGTAGGGCATGTGAAGCTAAAGCAACAAGTCAAGAAAGTCTTGGTCTTGTTTGAGTTATGTTTAAAGAGATAATTTTATGATAATTTTAAATGAATACTAGGTGCGATCAATTGGTATCCGAGCTGTCACCCGTTCGATTATATAACAGGTGAGATCCTGCAGAAGAAATGAAGCAATATCATGAATTGGTGTTAAGCATGAGGGTGACTCTGGATGCGTCCAACAATGGACTGTGGAAGTCAAGAATGTGATCCATCATCTGAGGAATTGATGCCATGGCATGGAAGTCAGTCATGACTAGGTGGACTGAGCCAAAGATCAAAGATGAAGACGGTGTGGAATCCAATAAACTAGAAGAAGACGGGATGACAATGGAATTGAAGCTAGCAAATTTTAATTCAAGGGCACTGTCTGTCATACATGCAAGTGTTACAAGAAGCACTTTGAACTGATTTAAGGGTGTGAAGCAGCTAAAGAATCTTGGGAAATTCTACAAACACATTTTGAAGGAACCCCGAAGGTGAAAAGCTCACTACTAGATTTTCTTGCATCTTAGTTTAAAAATCTGAAGATGGGAGAGCATGAGTTGATTGTAGAGTTCAGTTTGCAACTTAGTGGAATAGCTCATTAGTCCTTAACTCTTGGGAAAAAAAACTCAACGACAAGAAGTTGGTAAAGAAGTTTCTGAGGTGTCTTCCTCTAAAGTACATTGCCTACAAAGGTACTATGTCAGTCTCACTAAACACAGATGAGATCAGTTTTGATGAAGTGGTTGGAATGCTTCATGCTCATGGGATGGAGTCGGACGGAGGGAAAAAAGGAAAGGGAATTGCCCTTGTGTCACAAGACTAAGAAAGAGGAAGAAGAGGACAATGATCCAGTTAGCCTACTTGTAAGGAGACTCGGCAAGTTGATATGTAGAACTGAGCAAGCTCTGAGAATAGGAACTTCATCAAGACGTACAATAAAGACAAAGAGAACCCCTGCAGGAATAGAGAAAGGGGACAAGAAATCAGAAATGCAATTTCACGAGTACAAAGGTTTCATGCATTACAAAAATGGTGGTCTCACTGTGAAAAGAAGGTACATCAAGTGCTTTGATGTAAGGGTACTGGTCATACACAACTTGAGTGCATAAATGACTAAAAGAGACATCAGGAAAAGTCACCAATTGAAATCAATGAAGAGGATTGTGAGGAAGAAAGTGATGATGAATAGTTGAACAACTTAATAGCCTTCATCGGAATCAACGAGTTTGTAGATGGAGAAATAGACTCAGAAGATGGTAAATCTGACGCTGATGATGAAACAAGTGGTTATCAAGAACTGTTTTAGAATCGGGTTAAGATGGGAAAAGAGAATCTCTGCTTGAAGAAGGATAAGCTCTGGTTGGAGGAAACCATTATGAGTCCTAGGAAAAAAATAGATTGTTTGGGGATTTTTGTGGAGGCTCTTTGTGAGTACTATGGACGATAGATCTGAAGGTATTTTGTATGTGTTTATAGTGATTTAGAGAGAATAACAAGATAATAAGCTTGAAGACACGTTTATTGATTAGATAGACAAGAACAAGAGGAGTTAGAATGAGTATTGGGGTAAACCCTAGTTCTCGTCGTCTAACCCTACTCTCCAAGTCTAAAAGGTGTTGATTCTTATCTAGGGTTTTAGAACCCCTTATATAGTCGTGTTTAAGCTGAATCTAGTCGGGTTGAGTAGATGGAAGTCTTCCATATTCGAAAATATTGAAGTTTCTCCCTATAGGAAGTTTTCCATTTTCTTTATCAGGGGATGGTCCCTAGGACCGATCTCGGAGTTCCTTTTAGCGGGGACCTGGAGCGTTCCCTTATTGTGGACCCGAGGGTCTGGACCCTGCCCGAACGCTGGAGGAAATAATTGAGTATTTTTCCCCAACAGTTTGCCTCTCATTCCTCGATTTCGTCATTGAATTCGGGGAATAACATGTGCACTCAAGTCAAACGGAGTTGCTTATTCTCAGCAGGCTTCCCTTAGGCAGGGTCTGCTCTAGTAATCTTGCTATCATGGGTTCCACTCAAGTCGGAACTCATTCTGAATCCATGTGAGGACTGGTTATCCCTTGCTTAGCCAGAGCTAGATAGTAGTTTTGCATTCCTGGATGTCGTAGAGGCTAGATCCTTGATCTTTATGGAGTAGAAGGAGTTTTCTGCTGGAAAGGATCGGGGTCTTTGAAGCTAAGGACCCTGGAGTTGGCACTTAAGTGATGCTTGCTGGGATTCTTGATTCCGTCGTAGATAGTGGAATCTGATTTCAGGCTGATTTTGGACTCTTCGGTGTGTGATCCTTATGGGGGAATCTTCCAAGCCGGAAGCACAACGTTGTAGAGAGAACTTTCTGAATTTCCGTTGATTTTTCAGGTCCCTGGGCCGGATTTTGGCGGGAAAGGAGAAGGTTCCTCGGTGAAACCTCGAGATTTGGTCCCCCGCGTGTGTTCTCTTGTCGACGCGTGTCCAACATTTTTTAGGTTTTTCGACCTTAACTCCTCTTTTCGCCGTCTGAACTTTTAGCTTCTCCACTCTTCTAAAATTGTTGGCAATTTCGTAGCTCTCCATTCGCAGGTAACTTCTTCTTCTCCTTATCACGTTTTCTTCCCAATTCCGTTATTACTCCTAGGGAAAAAGTTGAATTAGATCTTCCTCCAGACTTCTTCTTTCGTGGGCGATAGGATTAGGTTGAAAAAGGTGGGAACCCAGATTACTCCGGTTGAACCAATGGTTTCCTCCAACTCTTCTCTAGATCTGACCTCTGCGCTCGATAATTCGAGAAGCATGGTCATTTGAAATGATTCGCCAGTTGCGAGGGGGGGGGGTGGTGGATATCTTCCAATAGGTCCTCCTTCGATAATAGGAGAGGAGGAAGTTGCGACCTGGAGAATGAAGTATCAACTCCCCGCTGATGTCATTATTCGGGCACCTGGTCCAGATGAGAGGGTCTCAGATTTTGGTGTATATGAAGTTCCTGTGTATGAAGGTTATTTTCAGTCTGGCTTCAGGGACCGAGTCCCTTCTTTGGTGGCAAAGATGTCAGAAACCTTGGAAATTTCCCCAGCTCAGTTGAATCCTCCCGCTTGGAGAACTCTGATAGGTATGCAGAACTTAGGCGACCTTCAAGGACTCGTAATTGGTGTGGCTGAGGTTCTATGTTCTTACTCCGTCTCTCCTCTAACTGGTGCAGAATGGAGGTATTATCTTCATCCTCGAAGCAAGGATACTCCAGTTAAAGAGGTTCCCAAGAAAAACAGGAAGCGGCTTCCGGCTTTTAATGGGGACTGGATTGAGAATTTTATTCTTCTTCCCGGGTTTTTATCTACGTGGCAGCTATGGGATAGGCTAGCTTATAGGAACCACGAGGATTAGTTAACATGTAGATACTAACAAATTTTTGTTTTCTTGATGTAGATTTTCCTCGCGTGAACTACTCTTCTGGGAAGGAGACAATGGAGCTAGTGTTGAAACTTCCTACTGAGTAGCGTCAGATTCCTTTTCTCGTGAGTGAGACGGCATTGAAGTGTTGCAGCATTTGGGGTAAGTATTTCATTCTCTTATGTGCTTCCCAAGTAGTTGCTGACTTGATTCTACCTCATATGCTAGGTGAAATGTGGGATCCAGAGGCGACGAGGCGTTAGCAGAATACAAGAAAGCTCTTGAAGTATTGTTTGCGAAGAAGGCTGCGTCCAAGCGAGCTTCTCCCGTCAAGGATGACGACGTTCAGTATATTAGGAGTAGCAAACGTCAAGCAGTTGCTGCTACGGCTCCTTCCTCCAAGAAGAAATTCAAGACTCCGGGTTCTACTCCAGAGGTATCTGCCCCTTATGATTGGACCACAGTGCTTTCAAATCTGAGTACCAAAGTTTTCCCTTCAACTCCGGTGCTTTTTTCATCAGGAGAAGACTCCACCATGGCCATTCGATCGCTTCAGGGAAATTTTCTCTAGGTAATTCGTCATATATTTCGCGATCTTCTAGCTCTGGTTTAATGGTTGAATTGTATACCGCAGGTGGTGTCTCAATTGTATTACTTTGGGGAGAGGATGGAGAACATGGCCTCTGTGAAAGCGGAGATGGATGCTCTGACCTCCCAGCTACGTGAGGAAAAGAATTCTCTTTTGGCCAGAGAGAAGGAGATCAAAGCTCTGAAGATCAAGGTGGGGAACCAAGAGGAAGCAGGAGAACTAACAGCCGCGGAGAACGTCTCTCTAGGGGTCAGCTGAAAAGTAGGGAGGAGGAGATTAATGATCTGAAAGATGCCGCGGAGACCTTTTCTGTTGAGAAGGCGATGGCTGTGAATGGTGCTAAGGTCGAGGCTTGCTAGCTGTCGCAGGAGTGGCTGAACAAACAGACCGATAGCTGGGATCTCAAACACACCTTTGATCAGTACAAGACGGTGAAAACCTCTGAGGCCGAGCTCCTAGGACTCCCAACTCTTTCCTTCGAGGATGAGCCACAGATTCCCGATGATGCTGAGGTGGAGAAGACATCGGAGCCCGCTGCTGACGATCCTCCAGCCGCTTGATCCCGATCTCTAATTTCTGGAGTTTTGTCCCCGTGAGTGGGTTTCTCTTTATTTTGTGTAACTGCCCCCTGTTAGGGGTTTAAGACTCTGAACCATGCCTCTGTGCCTTTTCTTTTGTTGTACTAAACAATGGCCCTGATGTGGCCCATAAAATATGTTTTTCGGATTTCTCCTTTGCATCTTCTTTTCTATATGCTGGTTTGCTAATGTGTAATATTGATCTCGTCTTTCATAAAGACTCCTCAACATCTTTTGTCTTTCAAGTCCTGGTCAGTGGGTTTAGATGTTTTTGGTGTCGAGGTCCCTTGGAACCTCTCTATGCTGAAATTCTTGGGTCGTTAGTAGACTTGGGACTTGGAAGTCATCTTGGGAAACACATAGGTTCCAGACCTTGAGGTCTATGATAGGGTGCTTAGTCTTTGGACCCTGAGGTTAATTGTGAGAATCTAAAGATTATTGACCCTAAGTTCTTTCTGACCCTAAGTTCTTTCCGAAATTCTGGTTTTAAAGGGACCATACTCTGCCTTCCTAGATGAGGCAACCGGTACCTGTCAGACCTCGCATTCTACCGCACGGAAGCTGGTCACTATCTCGATCCTATGCTGCATGCTGCTTCTGCAGAAGCCACTATCAGACTTTTTATATAAGTGCTAGTGTGGGTGAAAACTCAAGTGCAAGACTTTGAAGCTTTCCAGGTCTGGTCAACCAGAAATTATGAGGTACTTCCGAAATTTTGCACTATTTGCTCCCTGTATTTCTCAGTACTTTTGCAATTTTTGTTTTGGGACCCAGATATGCCTTAGGCTATACATGGGTTTTAGGTAGTTTTGATAGCATACTCAGATTTGCGCAAACCCATTCATGCCTTAATTCTCATACCCGTTTATTTTGTGTGGGCGTACCACATATCAATCAAGCTTGACTGGGATCAAAGGTTTCATGGAACCTGATCCAGCCGTATATGCCCCTTTAAGTATTGTGGTTTTCCTACTATAGGAAACCATAATGCTTAAACAATATATAGTAATATAGATAAAAATCTAGAAATCATAATAAGTTGCAAGGTGTTCCGATAGGTGGACTATGTTTTACCTTTGCTATCTAGTAGCTTGTAGGCTGTGATTTGTCGCAGAACCTCATCTCATTGATGGAAGGTGCTCGTTGTCCGATACGGGTCCTGCGTCATCGATTCGATACCTCCTTGGTCATGAGGCCTGGAGATGTCGTCGATGCATAGAGGGTTCTTTCTCTTATTGTCTGGATTTCATTGCTGGTTCTCCTCTGAGACCCTTTCCTGATCTGTTGATCGTCATGTCGCTTGCGGATGGGATTTGCCCCAGGGATCCTTGGCCTTCTCGTTAAACATTCTGCACAGTTGCGCCTCCATCGGTTCCCAACCCATCGTGTATCCTTTCTTTTGCTGGTATTTTGTCCCC